GCAATTTCAAGAAAACAAAGCAGCAACTTTCAGCTGCACGTCTTACCCTCTCACCCGGGAAGGCAATTTCTGGATTGGAAATCGCTGCTATTTTGGCAAGGACATGGCTAGCTTTCACCTTTCCAGCTTCTGTTCCTTCCAGAGCAAGTGGTATCAAAGCCTGAGGACAAAGCCAAAACAGGGTGAGTATAGTTAGTTTTCTCAGGACAAGAAAGACTTTATAGAGAAGATTGCAACATGATGTGCCAACCTTCTATTTCAAAATGTTTTTTTCTGGGCATTTGTTTGCAGAATATGTAAAAATATTGTATTTCATTAGATTTTAACGTGAAAAAATATAAATGTATGTATGCACACATTTCTGAAACTATCTCTCACCTTTCCCCCACCTTGGGCAACAATAGTACCACGATCTTTGGAATCTTCTGACAATGCCAAGAAAACTCTGAAGATAAAAACAGAAACCAGGTTCAACAATTAGATATTTTTGGGAAGTGCTGCAATTTAACAGGAAATCTACAAGAAAGTAGACGTATTCATTTGTGTTTCAGCTTGCACTTCCCTCTGCAATGGAACCTTTAGAAGAAAGGTCAAGTCATTTACCACAGTCTCATTCAAATGCACTATATGATCGTGAGAATGGAACACCTGAAAATGACAAGACATCCCATGGACTGATCTAAGATGCAGTCATGTTATTATATAAGTCATTGGAATTTCCACCAAACATGGATAAATCACATGATGCCAGGTTTTGCAACAATACCAGACATTTACGTGCCGAATCATCATATCATGACTTTTGGGACATGTCAAAATGCTTTTTCATCACTTCACTATGAAATACTTGCAATCCCACCTCGCCAGCATCTCTTTGGTTTGGTCTGTCAAGATGGAGCTGTCTGCTTTCACCATGACAGCAAGAGCTGACGTGACTCCAGCCTTCAGCAGCCTTTTCACTCTCTTCTCTATAAAGTCTTTCTTGTCCTGAGAAAACAAATGATATGCAGTGAGTGTATGCATGTGTGCGACATTTCCTGCATTACTTACGTCAGTTCAGTTGATGTGGTCTGAGTTTTTTTTCCTTTCTGTTTTTTATTTTTACCTTGGGGTGTTGCTCAGGCACGTGTTGTTTTGAGAACTTGGCCAGTTGAACCAGCTCAGGGATAATTTCCTTCTTATCATAGGAGTTGGTGCAGTTAATCAGGATGCAAGCAACTGCATATAAGATTGTCTTGTCTTTAGACTAAAAACACAGAGAAATGAGAGTTTACTATTGGTGTCTATTCAGATATACTGAATGTTTCTTTCTGTCTGTTATTTCCATACCTTAGCCAGTTCAAACATGGCTTTCAAAGCAAGCTCGTCCTCCACAAAGTCATCTTTCACATCAGCATCATTTGTCAGATAAGCAAGACCCTCAATTGCCCACTTCCTTGTTTTGGTATCAATCTGGGGATTACAGAGCCATCTAACGAAAGTGAAAAAGAAAGTATTCAACAGCATGTCCAGTGAGGATTTAAAGCATTAGGATTGCAATGACACCCTGGTTGTGTTTACCAATATTAAGGAATCAATTCTTACAGTTGTTACTATTACAAATAGATTGTTCACATACTTTCTACACATCACAATTTTTCTATGATGTACAGTATATTAACCTGCTGGGTTATTTGTACAGTCTTTTTTAACTGGCTGTGTATGAAGCACTCACTTTCTGCACTGCTTGGCCAGCTTCTCTGTCGAGCCTTCAGCAAACTGCCTCAAACTGTAATCGTCACCTCCAGCTGAACCCAGTTTACAGAGACCCTGGAGAGGACATGGACATGAGAATACGCGCCGATAGATACAGAGACGACATCTAGAAATTGATTAGTCTAATGCAAGTATTCTTTCAATAAACTGAACAGCATATCTTTTGTGCTCTTGTATTTGAGGAACAGTAAATGCTCACAATGTTTGTACACTCCTCTACTGCTTTCATGCTTCAAACAATGACAAATGAAGTTCTGTTCTTTTCTTTATCCACTCACCACAAGCGAACGTATTTTAATCTTCTCATTCTTGGTCTTCTTGTAGATGTCCTTTAACAGTGACACTCCATTGGTAATAATGAAACTGGCGCGGCTCATCTTTGAGGAGGCATGGATCAGGGCCTCCACAGCAACCATCTGGTCCACCTCACGTTCGGAACCACACAGTGCCACCATCATCTCCATGATGCCTTGCCGTCCAACTAGGGCGTTGCCAACGTCAAAGGGACCCTGCAGCAGCCCTGAGATCGCATTGATGGCATGAATGGTTTTGTCCATGTTGTTGGGGTCAATTTTGGATCTGTGGTGAATGAATGGAGGATAAGCGAAAGAAAAAAGTCATATGCAGTTACATAAATGATGTTGGCTGAGTGACGATTCCTTCATAATTCCTTAATTACAACAAATGTAAATTTGGGATTTTATGAACATACTTTATATATTCATCACAAACGTCCCTGAAGTTGTCTCTCTCTGGGTCACATGTGAGGTCTTCATAGAGCTTGTTGAGGAGCACACTAGCAATCAGCTGTGTGTTCTCTGTCAAGGGCAACTGGTCGGGAAGTTCAGGAACTTGACCACAGACTTTAAGGATCTTCTTCAGACCTGAAGGACAAACACATTCGTGCAAATGTAAATATCTGTTGAGTACACCATGTCAGGGAATCTGAGTTGTGAGCTGTCTGGCTCACCATGGTCAATCGTGAAGAGGGTCCTGGAGTTATTTCTCTCTTTCTTGTCCTTCCGAGGTACATTCTTGGTCAACAGGTTCAGTGCCTGGTCCCTGCCATGGCCAGAAACCTTGCTGCTACCAACCATCTCCAGAAGTGAGAGAAGAATAGTTTTCAGGTCTTTAGATGCATCTGCAGAGAGGCAGATCAAATAAAAGACTGTGTGTCAAAGTGTGAGTCAATACATTTTGGCCAAGTAAACATCAAATAAGTGCTCGTAATATAAGTAGTCTTTTACTGCCAGTGATTCTTCACTCTCACCTAAAACCAAAGATGCTTCTTTCCCATATTCCCTTGTATCTCCACCAGTGAGGGAATCATTGATGCACTGGAAGAGGTTGCAGGTTGCCAGTGCAATCTCTTCATGGTCAATAGCCATGACGCTGCACATCTTGTCAACACCCACCATGTTCACAATGGCCATGCCCTGTTTAGGGAAGATCAAAAATATGTATATATCTTGTGTAGAAAACGCCATACAAATTGTTTTGTTCCTATTGCTAGTGGCATCGTTTAGGTAGGCAGAAGTGCATCATGTTTGGAACAGATTATATATGTTGAAAGTGCCCTTGAACTTTTCTGTGTCACTTTGCCTACATCTTCACTCACCCGAGCTTTGTGTCCTGTGCACATTCCTGATAAAGTACGAACAGCAGCCAAGATCATCTCTGGTTTGCCTGTCTCGATCATGTTGAGCAGCAGAGGCACTCCGTTATTCTGGAAGATTCTCTCTGCTCCAGCGTCTTCTCGGGACAGAACAATCAAGTTGTTGGCAGCCTAGACAGTAAAGAAAGAAGCCAAGGCAAAACCACAGATGAACTTTTCTTTCACATCATGCCATAAAAAGGGGAGGCTCGCTGCTTCCCCCTGCAGGAAATAGTAAGATCATTGGGCAGCTCCTTCAGTGACAGACTGCTTCCCCTGCGGTGTTGCAGTCAGACTGTTCAGTCAAGCCTGCTCCCGGTTGTTCAGTTCACCCACAGTGCAATAATAATGTAAATAAGGACACTCTGCAATTTCACAGAATTTTTTCTGTAAGCTCTCATACTTCTTCGTTAAGGAGAAAGTAATCTGTGTGTGCTCTGTGCATTGTGTGCTGCTGTTTTTTCTCCTGTACTGTGTGTTATTTTCTATCTGCTGCTGTAACACTTAAAATTCATCAATAAAGGTTTAATCTATCTATCTATTCATTCTTTTTACCTTAACCCGTGCATTCTCTGGTCAGTTTTGACCCAAACCACACTGTGAAGAATTCCTGACAAAACTTCCCTCATACCAAATTTTAAACTACAGATCTATTTACAATGTCTAAATAGCTTATGTCACATTAGTAAATGTAAAATAAATAAATAATAACACACATAAAGTATGGCCTGTACACTTTCACAGTTTCGTTTTCTTTGATTTCTTTGAAACTCCAGCAGGCTGGCAGGAAATGAAATGTCAGGCTAAAAGACTGACATTTAGGGTGTTTTGATATGTCAAAACGGGTCAAATTTGACCAAAAGCAGTACATAAGGGCTACATTACTGAAAATACTCACTTTTTCCCTCTTGTCCTTTTCCATTTCTTCATCGAGAAGAATCTCAAACATGTTCTGTACCCTTGAATCTGTAGAGAACGTCGTTTTGAGCTGTGAAGAAAAACATGCAAGTATAAATGAAACCTGTACTGTAAGTGATATTGACAGACCCCTGTCATATTGACTACATTCATTATGTTTTGGCTTACTTTAAGTATTTATGGTAAAAGTACTTTCACTGAAGTACTACTTGCATTTTCTAATATTTATACTCTTCTTCTTTTCTACTGTTGAACACATGCCATTTTCATTATGTAAGGTGATACGTGGGTCTTATAGTGTCCTGTATGAGGTTTTGTGTGTGGATTTAAATGCTTAATACTGACCTTGGCCTGGATCTCTGCTCCCAGCCTGCGGAGAGTCTCAAGGAAAGTCTTGTTCTTGGGTTCGAGCGTGGCACATCTCTGCACATCCTTGAAAGCCATGTCCAATTTTCCCAGCTTCTCCAAGGCTTGACACCGTCGGTATAAGGCTTTTATGTCTGACGCATCAACGTCAATCGCTATGTAAAAGGGAAAAGAAGGTTGTGGCAATTGGTTTAAGTTCATGTTTGTTTTCAATGGCACTGCTGCTTTTAACTGTATTAATGCAGTTTCTTAAATTTCTTAATGTGTCACTCTACCTTTAGAAGCATCTGATGCTGCATTGGTATAGTTTTCCTGTGAGGAAAAAATGAAATAAGATCTAAATTTGCCAGAGAAGTTGCAAGTATAATCTGTTCGGTACATTTAAATTTGTGTCAGTGTTGCGCTACCAAGCTGCTCACCTTTTTTAGGTAGCAGGCAGATCTGTTCCTGTGAATGACAGCCAGCACCTTCTTGTCCTTGCAAACCTTGATGGCTTTAGTGTAGCACTCAATGGCCTTGTCAATGTCTCCTGCCTGAAAGTGTTTGTTACCTTCATCTTTTAACTGGACTGGGTCTCCCATCTGACAGAAAATGAAAAATCCACCAGATCATGTTACATTTGGTTTTTCATGTAAAATCCAACATTAGAGTCAACACTGAGTTTAATCACTTTTTATGTCTGACACTATCAGCCCCACAACCAAAGCGTTTTTCACAAGTTTCACTGTCATCAGTCAGTGAATGTAGTAGTTTAACTGTAATAAAGCAACCGAGCCGCCACACTGAAGTCACAAATATCAATCACATAAACAGACATCTGGATATTTTAACAAGGCGAATCAGTTAAACATGCTTTACACTTTTTTTTTTTTGTCATTTTAAATGTAAAGAATTCTAGATTAAAAGTACAAAAGCAGTTCAAACCAATACAGATTCATTCATTTCCATTCACCCCAGAGAATAGTAATCTGTCACCTTTGAAATGTCATTCAAAGCTACTGTAATATCAGAAATGTTCTTTTATTCTCACCCTTCTTGCTAATCTGTCCAGCAGACCTGGGTTCCCTGTAGCAAATGGCCCCACACGTGCTATCTCTAACTTTAAATGGCCTCCCCTCTGGCCTTATTTGGGCATGGTCTCGTACCCCAGGCTGAGCCATGCAACAAATGCCACTTTTCCAAATGACGGACACCATCCCCGCCAGCTCGCCTGATAGCCACAGTGTGAGTCCTCCCCCCAAAGTACCCGCTGCAAAGCTGACTGTCACTCAAAAGAAACAAAGGTCTTTGTGGAAGCTGTAGTGTACCTTTAGGTTGTGTGTCTGGTCAAACTTCTTCTTTGCTTCTTTGTTTTCTTCCTGCGTAGACAATCTGGATCTCCAATCCCTGGTGTCTGTGACAAACTTTTTCTGTCTTATGCAACCTTCTCCCTCCAACGGCTCAATTTATATTTATAGTGGATCTCAATGAGGTGGGACAGGACTAAGGTGGACCCTCCTTAGACGTAGGGGTTCCTTCCAAAACACACGGGGCAACTTTGTACTAAATAGGTTGTCATTATAAATTATGGCTACTTACACTCCAGCAAACATCCTCAAAGTGTTGTTGAATTATTTAAGGCTTTACGACGGAAACACTTGTTTTTGACTCAGTAAATAATGAGAGTGTGACCCCCACAAACGTGGTCTGACCCTGATAAGGTCTATTTAGGGCACAGACAGCTGAGAACTTACCAGCAAATGCCTGATGTGGCAAGAGGGTGGTCTAAAGAGAGTGTGTGTGTGTGTGTGTGTGTGTGTGTGTGTGTGTGTGTAGACGGTGGGGAGGGGGCTGACAACTGCAGGACCACAGAGGAGACTGGTAGCTTCTGGAAAGACCGAGATCTCGGGCCTCATGAGGTGGTGTTAAGTATTTAGTTGTGATGGTTAGAAGTTAGAGAATGGGCTCTACAAGAAAGGGTCTTCGTGTACAAAGTTCAGAATAAAAACATGTCTTGTTTGTGTGAGAAATAAAATGGAATGATACAATACTGTGGAGAACTGGTGAACTGCTCAGGTTGTTTATTTGTGTTCCTTCCAGGGATACGCTACAGTCCCCAGGATAGGAACAAGCTTAATGATGTGGGCGAAGTACTTTTATTCAAGCCTACTTAAATAAAAAATAATCAGGTTCTTGTACTTGAGAACTTGCTTTTTCTAATATTGTATATTGCTAGTCCACTACATATATTTCACAGCTTTATTTACATGAAGATGAGATGGACCATAAGAAGATGGTAAAAATAAGATAGAGACCAGTGGTTTCTCATCAAACACTTTAGAGGCAAATAATATACTTTTTACTCCATTACATTTATTGGAAAACCTAAGTTACTAGTTAGTTTGCAGATTTAGTCAAGTAAAAGCAATGGTGCTGTAATATTATAATATAACATGCAATATTATTGACCCCCAAAGGGAAATGTACAAGTTACCCAGAAAATAAACTATATAAAGTAGTTAAGCCACCTTTGCCACTTAAATAGTTAATGTGGTAAACACAGCATCAACATCAAATATTTGATTCCAGTGATGTAATACACTGTATCCTGAAATATGTCATTGTGCTTAATAAACACTTAATTCTTTCGGTACTTTAAGCGCATTTTGATGATAACGTTTGTGCATTTTTACTAAATCAATATTTTAACACTGTGGTATTGCTACTTTTACTTTCTACAATTCTACAGTTTCATTTGGCAGACGCTTTTATCCGAAGCCATGTACATCTGAGAGCAGATGCAACACAAGCAAGGATGTAGTCAGGAGAAAACAGTCTACATAAGTGCCATAGAACATATTCAAGTGTGATAGGGCGCTGATGCCAACAGCAGCCGGGGGGGAAGGAAAAAGGGTTTTTTGGTTGGTTGGTTTTTTTTAATGTGCTGTCAAGTGCAAAGGTGTTCAGTGAAGATCTGGGTCTTCAGTCTTTTCTTAAAGACTCAGAGGGAGTCAGCAGATCGAACAGAGTTTGGTAACTCGTTTCACCGCCGCGGAACCACAGAGGACAAGAATCTAGCTAGTGACCTCGGGCCCTGTTGCGGTGGTTGTATCAGGAGGTTTTTGTTGGTCGAGCGTCGTGAATGAGAGGGAGTGTAGATCTGAATGAGAGAGCTCAGGTAGGAGGAAGCTGTTCTTGTGGTTTTGTAAGCAAATGTCAGGGTTTTGAACTTGATGCAGGCAGCAGCTGGAAGCCAGTGAAGCGATCTGAACAGCGGGGTGACGTGTGCTGTTTTTGGCTGGTTGAAAACCAGACGTGCTGCATTCTGGATCATCTGCAGAGGTTTGACCATGGATGTGAAGAGGCCTGCCAGTAAGGAGTTGCAGTCGTCAATGTGTGATATTATTGTACCAGGAGCTGTGCTGCATGTTCAGACAGGAAAGGTCTGATCTTCCTGATGTTGTACAGGGCAAATTGACACGACCGAGCAACAGAGGCCACACGAGGAGATGATTCATATGATGAGATGTCAAGCTCAGTGAGTGTGGAGAGGAGGATTTTGTGGTTAACCATGTCAAAGGCAGCTGACAGATCTAGCAGCAAAAAAGCTGGAGACTGTCCAGCAGCTCTCGCAGAACACAATGATACCATTACAGATAGGAATGCAGTCTCAGTAGAGTGATCACGTTTAAAACCAGACTGACACAGGTCATACAAATTGTTGTCACAGAGGAAAGTAGAGACTTGGTTGAAGACAGTTCGTTTAAGTATTTTAGAAAGGAAGAGCAGCAGTGAAACCGGTCTGCAGTTTTCAACCTGGGCTGGGCCAAGTGTAGGTTTTTGAGTATTGGAGTGACTCTTAAGACTTGGCGTCCATATGCATGGACATCACATTTTGGGTTATATTACCAGAGTATTTTTTTTTTTTTACATTTATTTTTCTTATTATTATTTTATTTTATTTTATTTTTTTTATATGTTTTTAATACATTTTTATTTTCAGGGTGTGTGAGGGGAACAGGCGAATTCCCACTCGAACCATCTGCTGGTCAAAAAGCTGTAGACCCACCTGCACAGGGATGAGGTGAGTCCGAGGTTCTGCAGCTTAGTGACCAGTCTAGAGGGGATTATGGTGTTGAACACTGAACTGAAGTCCATGAACAGCATTCGCACATAATTCCCCTTCCTTGTGTCCAGGTGGGCCAGGGCTGTGTGTAGCAGGTGATTGATGGCGTCGTCTGTGGATCTGTTTGGCCGGTATGTGAACTGTAGAGCATCGAGGAAGGCAGGTATGGAGGAAGTGATAGAATTTCTGACTAGTCTTTCAAAATATTTAATCACCACAGAGGTAAGGTGGGGCAGTAGTCATTAAGACAGCTGGGCTTGGCTTTCTTGGGCACAGGAACAATGACAGACTGTTTAAAGCACCTGGGGATGATGTACCATGAGCGAAAATTTGAATATTTCCATGAACATCAAGCTGATTGGCACAGGTTTTCAGGACATGGCCTGTTCTATCATCAGGTCCTGCAGCTTTGCTGGTATTCACGTGTTGAAACATCCACCTCACATCACGCACATCACGGTGCACGTCTCCTCCTCTCTGCCGGGCGGGAAGCTCACCTCTCAGCTGGGAGTCTCAAAGCGTGCATAAAAGTTGTTGAGTTCGTCGGCCAGAGATGAGGAAGAATGAAGTTCCAGTCGAAACATGTAAGGTAAAGAACCATCTCCTAAATTCTATCGTCTGAAAAGACAATACAAAGTACTAATTCAGAGTAGACAAAATGAACTTGCTGGACGTATAGAGATGTGTTACAGTAACTTTTATGGGTCCCTGCACATATTGGAAATAAAAGAAATTAAATTGCAGATAAGACTGCAACAGAAGCCACAAATATCATTCATATAGACGTAGAAGTGGGAAAAAAGGCAACCAGGCGATGGTATTTCAGAGTTCAAAGGAAAGTGGGAGGAATGAGATGTGCAGGAAGCAACACGATAATAATATTGAGATTTATATTGGGAAACTCTGGATTAAACAGCTATTAACCCTAACCATAACCATAACTATTTAAAATATAGAAAGATAGTACAGCTGCATGTGACTACTTGTTATGTGCTGGGGGCACATTTTTTACCCTTTCTTTAGTTTTGCATGTTTTCCCATGTTATGATGCACTGACATATGAGGCCCAAAGGAGGCAGCTGATCCAAAACCTCACAGAGAAATGAGTACAACTTGATTTAATAGACATTCTACGAAACAACTCAAGAAGCGAATGTTATCAAATCATATTTCGATAGCTTGGACAAAGTAATTTGATCGAGGATATGAGTTTTTTTTTTGACAAATAATGTCAACACTGCAACCACTGGGTGGCGGTAACGCCCCAATTCGCTGTTTGCAAACCACCAGTAAGCCTCAACTAAGAAGAAGAAGAAGAAGAAGGCCATTCGGTAGCGAATGCTCCCTCTGTCGGCTGCATCTTCCTCCCAAACCAAAGACCGCCAAAGAGGCTACATTTATCCGGCTTATAATAAGTCTTTAGTCCTTTATTTGTTAATTTTTAAGTGATGTAGAATGGCGTCTGGTTTTGGGAAGATTGTCGTTGGTACTTATGTGGAGATAAAGCGCAGTGATGGTAAGTTTCACCCTGTCTGCTCTTTCCCCGTCGCCCAGTCTAAGTTGTTTGGGGAGCTTTGTTGCTGCGGTGCTGTTGAATGTAGCAACCGTTCCCGGCTGCAGACAGTAACGTTCACGTTAGCGTTAGCTGCACCGAGACGTTAATGTTAGCTGTCAGGGCGGAGAGTTTCAACATGGCCTAAGCCTTTGAATGGGCCCTCACCTTTTGTTAGCAAGCTTCTGGGCGAATTCAAGACATATTTTCCATTAGCTCTTAATTCATATTGATAGATAGCACCGAATGCATTAAATAGAAAATTAACGACGCACATTAACACATTAGCGTTAGTGACACTGAATTGCCCAAATGATGTATTAGAGCAAGGAATAAAAAAATTAAGATTAGCCAGACTAGCTAAATTGCTAACCAAGCTAGCTAACGTCAGTTATTCGCGTTAGCTTGTGACTAGCTAAACGGCTAACGCTAGCTACTGATGCCCGGCTTTATTCCAGCAGTAACACCGGAGTGGAACCTCACCACCACCCATTTAGTTAACGAGTAGTTTGCTCTTTGGTTTGTAGTTTGTGCCCCGTTTATTTCATTTATAGGTTGTTAAATGCTTATTAAGCCAACCAAAGTGACATTTGTTGCCATGGAAACCCTAAATAGTAAAAAAGCAAGTATTAGGATGTTTTAGAAAACGTAAACTTCCCATTGATAACAACATACGAACATTTGTAACTACGCCGGCTTTACAGATGTAGATTATGAATTATGACAGTGTTTTTTTTAAGAAGCTTTATTGGATAAGATCACCCTGTATGTCAATGGATTCTAACAGCACTGTATGCCAAGATAAAGCTAGCAAAGGCTATGGAGTATGAACACTTATGCCAGCTGCTTGTTATAGAAGTACTGCAAAATGTAGCTGGAGTAGTCCAGGAACAAAATGGGATTACAATACAGTTGCTTCAGTTTGCTTTTGAAGGTTAACAGACGAGTAGACAGAGAAAGGGAGAGGCTGCTTGTTGTATGACTCTTCTCTATGTGAATGTCAGCTTTATTCTTCCTGCCCTGTGTGGTTGTTCAGCTTCGCTTCAGGGCCGAGAAGCCAAAGATGACTGAAAAGTTTGTGTCATTCCTGTTGGCCTCTCCAGGACTAGGCTACACCCAGTGATCCTGTTTTGCAATAACCCCTCAAACGACAAATAATCTTTTCAGCAAAGCTATTGCCGAGGGTGTGTTCTAACCATTGTACTGGTTGTTACTGATTATGTCTGTAAGTCCATCATGTCTGAAAAATTTGATTACACTTTCATCAGCGTCTGGAGATCAGGGGTTAGATGAATAAAAGGCACAGCAGGCCCACAGAGGGAAGCCGTTCTGTCTGTCTGTCTGTCAGTTTTTTGCTCGTTGGTGTTGTGTCCAGAGCAGGGATTGCCCTCTCTCTGGGGGTTGGTGGCAGGGCCGGTTCAGATTCAAGCCAGATTCAGGCTATTAGCCACCACCCCATCTGTTGCAGTCAGCTCCCTCGATTCTGCCAGGACTCTCGCTTGCTCCTCCTGCTTTTTTTTTTCTTTTCTTTTTTTCTTTTCCATTTCATAGTCATTTCAGTCGAGGACAAGATCTAATAGAAAATAGCATTGGACTATTTATTAGATGGCCTGCAGTCGCTGTTTAGTTTAACAGCCTTAACACAGTGGCTTGTGTATGCGCTTTTTAAATTGAATAGTGTATTTCTTGTTTGATCCTGAAAGTGCGTTTTCTGTTGTTATCAGGCATTTGATTGCAAATTAAATATTGTTGTGTAGTGTAATAGTGTCTTTATAAGGCAGAAAAGAATAGAGGCATAGGCTACCTATTGGCCTAGTTTTTATCAACACATGCAGCATTTCTCTCAATCTGTGACATGTTGACACAATTTCATCAATGGGTGCCTTTGGTTTTGTGGTGAAACTGATCCTTTGAAGGCTTTGTTTGTTCCAAGGCTTACACAGATTGGAGCACCCCTTTTTAAGCCCCTTCACCGACTGGGAGGTGTCGGCATACCCATTCAGCTGGGTTTTAGTATAAAAGTGGGACACCGTGGAGGATGCATTTAGTAACGGAAAATCAGCATATCAGCTGCTGGAAGACAAGTCAGTGTGTGACTTAGCTCATGCTGCTATCGGAAGACAATGTGTGTACAGTATATGAGATAGGCAGCCTGTATAAATTACTGATCTCTGGAGAAAAAAATAAAATTTCCCTTCATCAGCAAGGTCAGAGCATACATCTACACAATAGTGCCTCTGGACCTTTGCTATAGTGTCTGCCAGAGACCATATGGTGTGCCCTTGAAACCTGTCAGAAGACTCTGTATGAAATGAGTCATGATGAAATTATTAATCAGCTGACTGAAAGCTATGTTGATAACTCCTGAATGATTTGAGTCACTTTTCAATTACAAACAACAAATACCTCCCTCGCATTTCAAAGTATTTCTATATTCTATATTTCTCTCTATCTTTATTTTCTTCTTTATAATGTGAGTTCAGTGGAATAGTTAAATCAATCATTTAAATAAATGATCTACTTCTTCTTTCTCTGAATGTAACGGGGCTAAGTTTTTCTTACTGTGAGAAATGTGGTTTTGGTGATGGTGTGAAGCCAGCTTGTGTGTGCTCAGGTCTCTAGGCCTTTCGCTATAATGGATTAGACAGGCCCCCAAAGTCCATGGTTGTGTATAGTGTTATGCTGTGGCCTTCATTCTCTGTTTCTATAGTTGATGTCATTGGTAACTGTTAATTTCTACCATTAGCAACCTTGCTTAGAAGGCTTTTCATGAGAAATTGCTTTTAATGTTGAATTCTAAATTAATTGGGTGATCAACAACAGTATTTTTTCAGTGTTGGCCTGTCTGGGCCTTCGCACTTTTTGTGAGGGTCATTATGTCAAGACACACTGCTTTGTGTTAACAACAGAGATGAAGTGGTGTCAACATACAATAAAGATGTCACTGTGTGCTGGTGGGTACAACAAACATCTCACTGAGTCAGCAAAGTCAGAAAAAACAGATATAATATTTATTGTGTTTGCTGTTGTAATGGTAAGATAAGATAAGATATGCCTTTATTTATCTCACAGTGGAGAAATTCACATTTTTGGTCTGTGTGATTCTGTCATAAATAACTTCAGAGTCTAAGCTGAGTTCAACCCTGTTTGAGAGGTGATTTGGACAGCACTGGTTGACCCAAACAGATAGACCCTAAAGCAGGTTCAGCATGGATCACTGTCTCTGTGAACTGGGTGTCAGTGTGTCTCCAGAGCAGACAGGACACAGTTGAGAGAATCTATTTGACTCAAATTGACAATGATGATGCTTCTTATTCTTGCAGCAAATTCAAAAGAAACACTACCACCAATTTCTCAAAGAGCAGAACGTAAATTTGCAGACATGACATGTCTTTGGCCACTCTTCCTGCAATCAACTAGATCATACGTTTTTTTAGACTGCCTTATGGTGTATTTCATAACAGTTGTCAGCTGTTATGAAGGAGATGAAAATAATGATTGGTTACTGTTATTAGCTCCAAAAGTCCAGATTGGTACATGCCTAAACTTTATTGTCATATGTCTAATGTCTAATATGTCTAATGTCTTTATCACATGTGGTTTGAAGGAAGTGTTTTTCTGCTCTGCTGTTGTTACTTATGCAGTATGTAGACGAACAAGTCATATCACAATTTACCCACAGGAAGACTGTGGTCTCACACTGAACTGCTGACATTAGCTAAGCAGCCAGCCACATTGATTTTTTTTTTGACTTTTCTTTATTTTTTTTATATGGGTTGTAAATGGCTATTAGCAGGAAGTGATTTGGATTTTACCCTGCTTGACATTCTTTTGTCTCCAGTAATCCTCTTGTGTGCTTCAGTCACTTTTGCAGAATGTTGTGCTTTCACCACTCTTTAAGCACAGGTGTGACACCGAGCATTAAGAGTCTGCTGGTGTCTTGTTACTTTTCAGCATTGTGTTGCTTACACTCGTGTTCATTTTTAGCTGACTTGCCACAGTAAAGACCTTGCAGATGTTGACATAAAAGTTATGAAGCACACAAAGTGTTGCATGCTCAGTGAGGCGGATGACAAAGACAAAAACCAGAATGAACAGAGAAGAAACAGATATTTTCATACAAGGCTTAATGAATGACTGAATGGTGTAATTATGGAAATGTTGTACATCATATGAATAAGAGTTAACAGCCACTAGATTGAACACCTATTGAAGACTTGGGACTGGTACTGTTCATCACTAACGCTAAATGATGAGATATCCTGAGGGGATAAATGTTGTTTGTCTTGTCAGTAGATTGGTAGAGACTTGGAGAATTAATGCCAAAGTGCATTGATGCTATTTTGGTGCATTGTCATGTACCAACACCTTTAATATGCCCCCCTGTCTGTTAGTTCTAATGGTTGTGAATAGCAATGAGGTGAATTTAACTTTTTCAAAATCTTTTTAAACTAAGTTAGGTCTGTTTAAATTGCCACAGTGTTTCATTCTGGTTAGTAAAGAGCTTATTGGCATCGAAGTGTGGCATAGTTATTTGCTTTACCTTATTTTCAATTACACCAGTTTTATCCCTGTTGATTTGAGCTCTGGAGCTGAGCACAGCCTTAACTACAAACACAATTATGAGGACCACTGTCATTTTTTAATAGAATGATGGAGGGAGGGTAGAGACAGGTGGTGAGGTTCACATCATCATCATCATCATCGTCGTAGTTATCAGATTGTTTTTTCTTTACAGTATGTACAGCTGTGTTAATTGTGTTATGTGGCAGTTTGGAGTAAAATGTACAATTTACACATTCAAGAAAACACATATGTTATACATATAACTACTTAGTCTAATCATAGTTGTACAACCAAAGGAAAGCGTCAGATACTACTGTGTTAATGCACTTCAGTTTTAATGAATTAAATCTATTCCAACTTCAGTTGATTGACTAAGTAATAAAAACGTATTCCTTTTTAAACATATGTCTACCTTCTGAAGGCGCCTGATCTTCTGAGTGCACAAAATGTTTTTCCTGTCTCTCCCGGTTGAACCATAATAGATCTGCTTTTCCTGCCTTTGACATTGTAAAACCATTGTATGTTAAATCAATCTAATGCTCAGCAGTTGAGAACACTGAAAGCATCTTTGCCTGCTAGCTCCGTGTGTGTCTCTGAATAATGGATACTGGAACACGGTGTTTCCCTGGATTGTGATGGGAATTTACAGCAAGCACTCAAATCCACACAGGCAAAGATGGGAGGGCTGAGCAGGCTTTTTTACAGCTGTTATTATTACACTGCAGGCAGAGGGGCGGAGAGAGGCACACAGGCTCGCAGCAGCTGCACTCGTCTCTATTATCTGGGATTCACTCTAACGGGTCATTATCAAATCTCATGGTCAGAACTTAACATTAGCTTCAGTGTATTGCCTCTCACATGACACTGTGTGGCCAATTATTAAAATACAAATTAACGAAACAAAAATAACTTTCTGCTGGTCATTATTGAGCGCAAGCAGGATGTGGTTTAGTAATGTATCATTTGACATCATTGTGTACCAAACTGTTATGGTCTTTTTAACTGTGATAGCTACGACTGGATTATGTGGTTAATAATGATGACAACACAGTTTTCAGTTTTTAGTTATAGCTTGAAAAAAAATGACTGTGTAGGACCATATAATCATACGGTGATTCAACTTAAAGTTAGTCATGATAATTCTGACTAACGGCCAAACTAATTGGAAGAATTTTGTTGTCCACAAACAAACTGTGGATAAGCGGCACAGGTAGTCTAAAAAGTAAGAGGATAATGCTACATAGACTTATAATTGAAAATTGAAATATGTATGCATAAGGTTGTCATGATAAAACTAATAGTTCTTACTGTGTAAACAAAGACACTGAACCCTCTTTTTTCCACCTCACTGCATCTTCAAATACAACAGTTCTATTTTAACAGGACTACTTAGAGATCTGATCAGGGTAGCAGGTGGTAATTAGGCCTTTTGTAATTCACCCCACTAAATACGTTACCTCGCTAATGTGCCAGGCAGAGTGTTGTGTGTGTCAAATCGATTTTATGTGTACCTGTGTGTCTCTCTCTGTGTTAAAGATAATATCCTTTTATCATTGCTAAATTATGAAGTCATGAATAGCGCATGCAAGACTGTTATTACTATATTTATATACAATAAAAATAGAGATACCGCCATCGCCATTGTTACCAAACTAGGGATCTAAAAAGAGTTTGGGTCCCACTAAACACTGCCTTCAGTCCTCAGCGTTATTCTGCCAACCTGACATTTGATTTTGTCTATGATGCTTTTACAGGACGTATACATCAGGCAATGGTGACCTCACTGAATGAGGACAACGAGAGCGTCACAGTGGAGTGGATAGAAAACGGAGACACAAAAGGGAAGGAGGTAAAGCACCATTTACTACCATTTATTACTCCTCAAAGCACCAACAGCAGCAGCAGCAGCATGTGCTTTTATTTTCCACAGCAATGAATAATGCATCCAAAGGCATTTGGGAACTGCTGTGATTACGCAAGTAGTCTGCATGTCTTACAGTCCCACCAGATACCACCTTCTGTACACTGATGTGCATGAGCTTACACAGTCTGTAATTCTGATGGTGTGTCTCCACACTGCAATTTTAATAGTATGTCTAAGGACTGGGAAATAAAATAATCTAGATAATAAATACAAAACGTATAACCTAAATAAATATGATACATCCATCCATCCATTATCTGGGAGCTGGAGCTGGAGCTGGAGCCTATCCCAGCTGACTATCACAGGGCTACACTTAGAGACAGACAACCAAGCACACTCACATTCACACCTCCGGACAATTTAGAATCACCAGTTAACCTCAACGTATTTTTGGACTGAGTCAGAGGAAGCCAGAGAACCCGGGGAGAACCCACGCTGCAGGGGGGAGAACATGCAAATTCCATTCAGAAAGATCCCGGGTGTACTCACCGGAACGCAAACCAGCAACCCTCTTGGTGCGAGGCAACGGTGCTAACCACCGAGCCACCTTGCAGCCCTATGATACATTTATATTGTTAATATATAAATTTATAATGAATGTATCTGTTCTTCATTTGGGTCAGCCCTCATCAGCAGAGTCATCCAATTAGGCTATAGCAGTTATACAGCTGACACATGTGGGGCCAAAAAAAGGAGAAAACACACGTTGTTGTTTTTAGAAAGTACAAATTTGTGAATTCAAGAAGATTTAAACACCCACTCAAGGTGTAGAAACTGTAGCAAAGTGAAGTCACATCAGTGAGAAACAAATGGGCTGGATTTCTAAAGTTAGATAAATGTGCAGCTCTAAATAAATAAATGTCAGTTGCAGAGATGGTCAAATTTTTGATTCAGAAATAAACTACTGAACCATAACAGACCTTTATTTGATTTATTCAGGAGTCGAACCTAACTTCAAAAATACCCAGTGAATCTCCACACGCACATGTGTGTGTATCTGTGAGGTCTAACAATCATGTTGAATGCTTTCTCTGCTACATGAGTGGTTGAATGTAAAATGAGATATTTGTTGGTGTCAATCAATATGGAAGAATAGCTTGATAAAACATCCGGCCATATCGCTCAGTCTATGTGTAATTCAGTATCCAGCAATGTAGTGTAATTGTTTTTGCATGTATCTGTTACACAGTATATAGAAAGGTCACTAATATATCATCCTACGCCTAAGTTGTAAAGTCAGCAATTCACTGTAAGGTATTCTAGTAATTTGGATTGTGAAATTGGCATCTAATTAGATCTGAGCATTCTATGATCAGTAAAAATCTGTTTGACTACTCTGTTTCTTTCTTTTTTCCTCTAATTTCATATATGTGGTTAGCAGGAGAAAGAAGCGGTATATTGTTACCACAGTAATCCGTGTCAGTGATGTTACTTTGTTGCTGGCCAACTATCAGTGACTGATGGTGAGATTGAAATATTTCTGACACATACTATTTATTAAATTTACAAGACAACTTTTAGCCTCGTAAATTATGGATGCAAAAATCACATAACCGCACTGTAATGTTTTACTTTTAACTCTTGTAGCTGGTAAACATTTGTAGTTGCTTTAAGTATGTGTTTAAAGAAGTGTCTGACTTCTGCAAAATAATCGTCTATTCATATGATGTGTATGTTCCAGGGAAGAGCCTGTCTCGTGCCTGGCTAAATATAGTTTTTGTTTTGTTTTTTTTTTTTGCTTACTGACTAACATGCACACTCATGAGCTACTGCTGAAGTCAGATTCAAGTCTATCTCATATCCATCAAATCTCAAGTCCCCACTTTTATTAAAGTCTGTCTCTCAGCTAGTTTGATCAGGGAGCCTTTGTCAAATTTACAAACTGATGCTGAGCTGTTCTATGAACTTTAGAAATGGCAGGCAGTCACTAGAAAGAATAGTTAAACATATTTTGATTTATTTTTTCAGGATTTAGCCTGAAGGTCTTGGCTACTGAGACTATTATTATAAGCAAGGATCTTTCTGCGTAGAGTTTACATGTTCTCTCCGTGCAGCGTGGGCTCTCTCCGGGTTCTCCGGCTTCCTCCCACAGTCCAAAACCATGTTGAGGTTAATCGGTGATTCTAAATTGTCCGTAGGTGTGAATGTGAGTGTGCTCGGTTGTCTGTCTCTAAGTGTAGCCCCGTGATAGACTGGTGACCTGTCCAGGGTGTCCCCTGCCTTCACCCTAAGTCAGCTGGGATAGACTCCAGCCCCCCCTCGACCCTTGTGAGGATTAAGCGGTGTATAGATAATGGATGGATGGACAAATAAATAGTGTTATAAATACACTGCATTGTTCCACTGTCTAATACCAAACATTGGTTAATTAGCATACAAGTAATACGCTGTCTTAACACTCCTTTGTTTCTGGACAGATTGACTTGGAGAGTATATTTGCACTTAATCCAGATGTGGCACCAGATGAGGAGATCGCCCCGAGTCCGGAGACTCCACCCCCTCCCACGCCCGTATGTGTGAAGGGCAGTAAAATTGCAAAGGTGAGTGCTTCTGTGCTACTTTATCAGCAACTGTATGAAATCTGAGACACTTTGTGTTTCCTCCCTCTCTTTACCATCCCTTGTTCACATTATAGCCAGAATGAATATAAAGTCTTGCTCAGGTAGTTACTGTGCAGCTCAGTTGGCTGGACCTTAATTTAGATGCAGGATCCCTCTAGGTAACCAGCTAATTGGTCCTTGTGCTAACACTGTCTGCAGTGCACAATAGATTAGTGCTGTGATTGTATTGGTAAATATAGTAGTTGTGATGACCTGTGGGTTTCCTAGCAGAGGAAATTGCTGAGATCATTTAACATGTTGCTGAAAATTTATTATTTTGAACTAAAGCTCGGCTGTAGAATAGTGTTGCAAAGTTATTGAATGCCTCTACCTGACACTCCAGTTTGAAACTAGTTTTATATTGTAAGAATATAATAATTGTGATAATTTGTATGATATCTAATTTTATTGCAGATCCATAACCTTAGGTCAAACTCTACTTACATTTCTTTTTGAACTCACTTAAAAGTATGTGTGCTGGGACTGTGATCTCAGGCATTAGTACTAAAAGAAGTGGACTCTTTAATCAGCGCTAATCTGACTCTTGGGCTTTGTCTATTTCTGTATATGCTGAGCAGTCATGAGAAGCAAAGTTGTGAACTGAGTGGAACTGACACATGTTTCCTTTCTTGGGGGCACCCATGAAATGTAAAAGCACAAGTAAGAATCACACAACTCAATATCTAACCGTAGCTTTTTCTTGCAGAACCGACGGACGATAGCACCTGTTAAGAATGACACTCCGTCCAGGGATAATAGAGGTGTGTGTCTGTTGAATTGCTAAAAATATTTGCTTTCTCTCAATTTGGTGTCAAAATATTAACTGTTGTGATATTTATGGTGGATGAAGAAAAGCAATAGTCATGGCATACAAGACACATCATTGACCAATATTATGGGATTATTCTGGCTTACTAGAAGTACTCTTTCATAATATTCCACACGTTTTAAACCTGTTATGTCACAAGCTTAAATTATTAGGTGACCTAAGATGTATAAGGAAAACAGAGGAGAAGGATTACAGTGATGTGAATACAAAGACAGACAATTCTTGATCTTGAGTTGCTAATTTTGGATAAATATATCAGTATCACTTGGCAGTGACTTCTAGATAAAGAGATTGGGTTTTTGTGTTTTCAGCAATTCCCACCCGGGCCAGACCTCCACAACCTCAACAGCCAGAACCTGCTCCGCCTCCTCCAGCCCAGCAGCCTGCACAGCCCACTCAAGCCCAGACACAGCAGCAACTACAGAATGGTAACATGATCGAAACAATCATGTTTTTCTAATTTAGCCTAGCTAGGATCTTGTGATCTTTGTTAGGAAAATTCTATTTTCAGACCATCAGTTATTAGGATTTGGTTGAAAGTCTCTAGCCCAAACCCCTATGCAAATGTAATATCCTTATAAGATTTATTTTCTTTTTACAAAAATATTGTCCAGTGATTAGTTGAGAATGGCTTCTCTTTCTTTTAACATTAAAGGTATTTTAATCAGTTAACTGTAGAAACAAATCAATCAGGATTGTTTAATATGTCATGTTTTTGTCGATCACATGTTTATCACAGAATCCTCACATCAGCCGATACCCAGAAAGGAGTTTGGACAGCTTTGTATGTATCATCTGCATGTTACTCCTGTCCTCAGTGCTTTATGGTGATTCTAATAGAGTTCCCAATAGAATCTGAGAGTCCTCTAGTCTGACAAGAAGATTGAACAGTCAAATGTCTGCCAGATACTATTCAGAACTGTGGTGTGGAAATGAAGCAGCACAAACACAATCCATCCAGCAGACAGGCTTTCTGGGTATTAGAGAGGGAGTTAAAAAAAAAAAAAAAGAAAAAGCGTTTGTGCTGCTGTTAGGCTGCACTGCCTTTTCCCTTTCTGATTTCTGCTGAGTCACACACAAGTACACGCATGGAAAAGCCTGCGATGCTATGTGCTACTCCTCTGGGCTCAGACGGCAACAATTACCTTTTTCATGACTCTCTATTCCTTCAAAGTGCTCACTGTCATTTAATGAGCCAAGAGGAGAAGGACAGAAATGCCTTGTTCCCCCTCCTGACCCCTCAGCTCCCCCATCGACTGCCAATGAGCCTGAATAACCCCCCCAAGTCGTGACAGTGGTGCATTTCTCTTATACCTCCTTCCCCTGGTGCTGACGCAGCTCGTCTTCTCCTCCCAGATTAGAGCAGATTATTAATCCCTCTGCTCTGATAGTCTGGGTTCTCAGGGAGTGGAGCCAACAGGAGGCCAGGACTGTATTACAGGGCTTTGCAGTGGGAAGCTGGGCCTGCAGCAGCGAGCCAGGGCAAATCAGATAACACTGGGTTTGATGCAAGGAAATCAGAAGTGGCTTTTACTTACATTTGCTAACTTGTGTGCTCTTATTGTGGGTACTAATCTACACTACACTAATCTGTGGGTGTGCTGTGCTGGTAGCTTCGAAATAACATTCTGGTTGATTGCTGGTTTATTAAGATAATCATGGAAACTTCCTCTAATTTTCAATCGGACTGGAGTAATTGCAGAAATAAAGACACATATAATCCTACATTGAAATGAGTCTCCGCGGCCCCTGGTCCAGTTGTGTTTGAGAAAATGGATAGAAGGGATAAATAGGAAGAGCAGGTTTTGAACACACTGTAAAGGCCTTTTGTTGGTTATGCAGTGAAAGCAGCTAGTGTTATGCTGGAGACACTGTGTGCCAGACACTGCATCCTGGTCTGTGGTCGCATTATTACTGTTCTGCTTTGTTGGAAATAGCCCAAGGTTTCCCATCTGTTTAAAGGAAGACCAAGAGAGAGAAAAGCTGAAGAGACAGAGGAAGTTGGAGAAACAGATTGGAAAAGAGATGAGAGAAGAAGAGACCTTTTTGCAAAGAAAGGCTCTTGGTATATGGTGTAAGACACAGACGAGTCACTGTTTCTCTTCTTGTAATGGCAGCAAGGAGGAAGTCCAACTGTGTGAAGGAGGTGGAGAAACTGCAGGAGAAAAGAGAAAGACGCCGGCTTCAGCAACAGGAGCTCAGGGAGAAGAGAGCTCAGGTACGTCAATATATGCTATTTCATTTTGTAGTTAACAAGATATAATCATTGAATATTGATAAACTACTTTTATTGTACTTACTTAAAACATACTTGTGCTTGTCTTTCCTTGTACTTCTTCAGGAGGTGGATACCACCATCCCTAACTATGAGATCATGTACATGATCCGAGATTTCCGAGCCAGTCTAGACTACCGACCTCTGACCACAGCAGACCTGGTGAGTAGAGGCTCAAAGTTCTTCCTCTTCTTCTCCACTTTACCTGATTGTTGGGTGCTGGCCCGCAGCAGCAATATAATAAAATGTCTTTCTTGTTGAACTGTCCAGATTGAAGAGCACAGAATATGTGTTTGTGTGAGGAAACGTCCACTTAACAAAAAAGGTAAGATCTTTTTTTATCAACGCTGGTCTTATGACTGATTATTATGTGTTCAATTCTAATTTACACCTTAAGTATAAATGCAATTCAAAGTCTTGTCTGTGTTCCAGAGTTGACCATGAAGGACTTGGATGTGATCACCATTCCCAGTAAGGATGTGGTGATGGTTCATGAACCTAAACAGAAAGTGGATCTGACCCGCTACCTGGAGAACCAGACCTTCCGCTTCGACTATGCCTTCGATGACAGCACTACCAACGAGATGGTTTACAGGTTTGTGACAGCTAGTTTAACAACAAACTGAGCCGTTAGGTCAATATGATGTACGTGCTTGCTTCTCAGTTCTAGTTTCATTTCTGCTTTATTCAGTTTCATTCATATAGCAGCAGATCATCGCGTAGGTCCTCTTAGTGCACTTTGCATAGTATGGTCACAATATAACAGCATTCTAGAGAGAAACCTAACACTGGGGCTACTGTACACGATCAAGCACTTGACACTTGTTTATCCTAAAGTGTATTTGAGCACTGTCAAGTTGGTTGCTATTATGTTAACAACAATACCACTATTAGTCAGCCGTATATTATTGCATGTGTCGTAATACCAGTAATAATGATGAGCACTGAGAAGATCACACCTGACTGACTAAACAATGTGATAACGTAGTGCTTTGTTTTACACAACTGAATTGGTGACTAACATGTTTTTCTTTCTGTGCATAACTGTAATTATGTCTTGCTTTTGCAGATAGTGAATGAATGTGTGTTCTGTCTTTTCCTGCAGGTTCACTGCCAGACCTCTAGTGGAGACTATTTTTGAGCGGGGCATGGCCACCTGCTTTGCGTACGGACAGACAGGCAGTGGAAAAACACATGTGAGTTACATGCAATGACTTCTTAAATTAAAAACCACCTCTTGCAAAAGCTGAAACCTGATTGCATTCATTGTGAGTTTTTGCCTCATTTCAACACTGCTGAATGCAACTAAAATGCGTCTTCACCTGTGTTGTATTTTAGACTATGGGTGGAGATTTCTCTGGAAAAAACCAAGACTGCTCTAAAGGAATTTATGCATTAGCTGGTAAGCAAATTTGCTGTAATTTCTGACCTAAGTGAATGCATCCTGTTGCCTAAAGGAGTTCAGATTCGATTTGTGTGGGTATAAGATTTTGCTTTAATATGGTTGAAGTTGTGAACCTCTTTTCTGTTTTTGTGCAGCTCGGGATGTATTTCTCATGTTGAAGAAACCCAACTACAAGAAGTTAGATCTACAAGTGTATGCAACCTTCTTTGAAATCTACAGTGGAAAGGCAAGTGATATGTAATAATTTCATATGATTGACATGATCATATGTGATTAACATTAACCGCTGCTGACTGTACTGTGTATGTACTGACAGGTGTTTGACCTGCTGAATCGTAAAGCTAAGCTGAGGGTGCTGGAGGATGGGAAGCAGCAAGTGCAGGTTGTTGGGCTTCAGGAGAAGGAGGTCAAATGCACAGAAGACGTTCTGAAACTCATTGAAGTGGGCAACAGCTGCAGGTAAGACAACAGGAAGTTTAATTTTGTATTTGTAGTACATGTTTTTTTATAAACATATTGCAACTTATTTTTGTCCTTCATGAAATAATTTAGTCACTCACAGGTACAAATGTCATTTTTCTTGATTCACCCTTGTTTGCCTGTTGTTCATTTTTACATCTTCTTCCTCTCACTCCTAGAACTTCAGGACAGACGTCGGCCAACGCTCACTCATCCCGCAGCCATGCCGTGTTCCAGATCATTCTTCGGCGGAAGGGCAAGATGCATGGGAAGTTCTCCCTCATCGACCTCGCGGGAAACGAGAGGGGCGCTGACACGTCGAGTGCCGACCGCCAGACTCGTCTGGAAGGAGCTGAGATCAACAAAAGCCTGTTGGCCCTGAAGGTCTGTGGGCAGCCAAGTAAAGCAAAAGAGATGGCAGCAGCTCCCAGAGTTTTCTGCCACATGTTTGTTCGTTCGTGGAAAATCAAAATACACAATAAATACACATTTTAGTTTTTATTAATTGTATCACTTGTCTTTCTCTTTCTTCTTATTTCAGGAGTGTATCAGAGCTCTTGGTCGTAACAAGCCCCACACTCCATTCAGAGCCAGCAAGCTCACCCAGGTCCTGAGAGACTCCTTCATCGGGGAAAATTCACGCACATGCATGGTCAGTTCTTTGTCTTGCTGAATAACCTGTGTGCACATTGTCGTACATCTTCATAGATATTAGTCTGAATAGTTTTCTCTTTCTCCAAACAGATTGCAACAATCTCTCCTGGTATGACGTCCTGTGAGAACACGCTCAACACACTACGCTATGCCAACAGGTAGGATTATGTTGCTGGACTGATTTGGACAGTGCCTTGTTGCTACAGGAACCTAAGGAAATGATTCCCTGTTGTGAAATTATAGCTCTTGTAATTCCTCTGTAATCCCTAGTGGCTGTTGTATAGATGTAGATTAGCTCTACCAATGGTGCTATTGTAAATTTCTCTGCTTACTCTCAGTAGTTCTTTCTGACTCTTGTATACCTTCTCACTCCTCTTTTTTTCCTGCTTTTTTTTCCCCCCCTTCTTGTCTCCCACCCTCTGCTCCTCTGTGCGCTGGTGTGGCTGGTGCCGCTGTGTAGAGTGAAGGAGTTTGGGATTAGTCCGTCAGACATCCCCTTCTCCCAGGGCGGTCAGGGGAGTCGCCCTGATCACTCGCCCACCAATACCTTTGAGTACGATGACTTTGCTGCTACCTCTCCCAGCAGGTCAAGCACTCCCCAAAGCACAGCACGCACACACACACAAACACACACAAATACACCCACAGTGCATGAGCTCCCTTCACGTTGTTAACATTTTAATACACAACCATGAGCTCACTTCGGCAGCTTCGATTCACTTCATCAGCTTCACCCACCGGGGAAGACTTCATCTGTCTCTTCCTTCCTATTTTTTCATCTGCATGACGTGACACTTCTCATGCTCTTCATCCCTGCTTTGACTTGTGCTTTCACTTTTATATTTGGCTGAGCTGTAGAGAAAACCTGAAGAACAATACATCTGTCTGTCCATGTGGGCGTGTCTTTTATTTGTTCTGTGTGATACCATCAGTGTTGATGTCGGGGACACCTGTGAAAGCTGAGAGCGATAAGTTAGAACAAAAACACGGTGGTTCAAGACTTGACTTTAGCTGTCTGGTAAACACATCCAGGATGAGCTCTTTGTTTGAGCCAGCTCTCAGCAGGTAATCCCTCTCAAAGTCCTAGTCCTAATTAATTAGCACTGTCCCTGCACGATATGTACAGTGCAGTAATCCCTCATCAGCAGCTCTGTGACGCCTTGTTAAACACAAGCTCTGACCATCCTGACCCCAGCGAGCACGATAACTGCCATCTACAGATTGATTACAGCCATCGCCCTCCCCCCACCCCATGCATGATGTCACTGCTGTCACAATGCTACCATGCTGTGCAAACTGTAAACTCCATACCCCGATCAAAGAGCCGCCATTTTCAGAGTGGGTCTGAGCTAAGAATGAAACGATCCCGACCAATTTAGTGTCTCTTCTGTCTGCAGGGTGAAGGAGCTAACAGTGGACCCCAACCAAGTGATGGAGGGGGGGCGACCCAACATCCACGCTGTCAACCAGCTGGATCTGCTGGACGAGGAGTGGCTGAGTATCTCACCTCAGAGAGACGACCTCAAACTGCTCTGTGAGCAGAATGTAAGTCTAGGAGGGAGGACTATGACTATACAATAACGTATATTTAGCATTATATCACAATTGTAATGGATTGCATGTTGTAGATATTTTGTGCAAAAAGAAACTGTACAGTTGAATCCAGACGTTTACATACTCTGTATAAAAAGACACATAACCTAATAAAAATGCTGACATTTAGCAAATATAAATAATTTTGGTAATCCTAGCTGACCTAAAACAGGAAAAGGTTAGTCTGATTTAATGTCAGACATGGAGGGAAAAAAAAAAGCTTTTATGTCTTTTTATACAGTGTAGGTAAGTTCTGGTTTCAACTGGATACACAGAAATGTCTGTTTTTGGCCCAGTAAATGAAGCACCTGTCACCAGTGTGGTGTCAGACAAGCTGTGCAAACATGCCATGAAAACACAAAACAACCCCTTTATTTCCCAGAACTGTCATGTATGGAGCATTTCATAGCGTATATTACAGAAACAGCATTTAATCCTTCAAATATATTTGGCAGGTTTCAGGGGGCCTGAGAAGTTTTGTTGCTTGTGAGAGTAACATTTGAAAGAATCTGCAGTATTTATCTGAACTGTATTATCCACTAGTAACCAGACTGCTGCAGTCATGTCTGTCGTGTGTTCAGTCTTCATGCTGTGTTACTTGCTGACACTGTATGTTTTTCATAGGAGGAGGAAGTGTCTCCCCAACTCTTCACCTTCCACGAGGCAGTGTCTCAGTTAGTGGAGATGGAGGAGCAGGTCCTAGAGGACCACCGAGCTGTTTTCCAGGTCAGAAGGAAACACACAACTCTTAAACACTTCCGCTCAGCTTGTCCTTCTTTGTGTTCATGAAAATAGATGAAAGCCCACTCCTGACAGTTTAAAGGCTGTCAAAGAAGGATATGAAGTAAATGTACTAAACGTTTTGTGTTTCTTCTCTGAGCAGGAGTCTATTCGGTGGCTGGAAGATGAAAAAGTGCTGCTGGAGATGACAGAAGAGGTGGACTATGACGTGGAGTCATACGCCACACAGCTGGAGCAGATCCTAGACCAGAAGATAGAAATCCTCACTGAACTCCGAGGTATGACTAAAACACACACACACACGTTGCAGACACGGCATCATGCTCTCATATTTTGGTGGATAATTGATCTGTCTGATTGTAAACTTGTGATTTGTTTTTTTTTTCTTTCCCCCTCTCTTCAACAGATAAAGTGAAGTCATTCCGTTCTGCACTCCAGGAGGAGGAGCAGGCCAGTAAGCAGATCAATCCCAAGAGGCCACGTGCTCTTTAGAGACTGAAGAGGTTTAAGTGGCACATTACAGAAACGTAACCACTAGATGTTTGGCACAACTCGAGCTGTCACGAGCAGCTGTGAAAACACAAATAAAAGGACTGTTTAAGGTAACAATAGACTCAAGGAATTGCATTTGTTATGATCCCTCTCCTAACAAAACTGGCTCTACACTCACTACGGTCTTTTTAGAAAACTTAGGAAGGAAAATAGTTTTGTTTCCTTCCGTTTTGGTTGATTTTTTTTTCATTGAGAATGTTTAGTTTCCTCTCCCTGTTATTAAATTATTTTTTTTATACTTGTTTTTACTTCCTTCGGACAGAATATCTTTGACCTGGTTTAAGAAGAGATCTTCATTGAAAAGTTTACTACGAATAACCAGTATTTGATTTCTGGTTTCTCTGGCTGACATTTCTGCATGTGCACTCTGTGATAGCTTATGTACACCACTGTTTCATGCTTCGGGGTCCTCAGTTTGCGTTGTAAAGTCATATTTCATTGTAAATGATCTCTTCTCTCTTTTCCTTTTACCAGTTTGGGAGAAGCCTTGAACCACATTGTGCTTCTTCCTCTGTGTTTCTTTCCTTGTGTCCCTGACAGATTTTTACATGTAGTTTGCTTCAGTTCGTGCCATGTCATTCTATGTGGCAACTGACTTAAAAACTCTTACCTAATGTAAAACATGTTTTCCACCCATTTAACACTTTGTTATAAAAATGAAACTAGAAAACTATTAATAAATGTATAGTGAAGACCACTGACCTACCATTGGTTATGTTGCTCAGTGTTTGCACCGGATGTTATGCTGGATGAAGAAATAAAAATTCATGTTTCATTTGAATGACTTTTGTGATAAATAAATGGACTGAATAACTCCCATAATCATAAAAGCAACTTTGAGCAGAAATGAACCTGAACAGTGATCTGCTGAGTACAACATCAGATTTCATCCTACTATATTGTCACAGCATTCGATGTGTGCATTAAACAATTTGTTTTACACATTTAATGGTAATTTCAAGTACAGAAAACTGTGATGCAAACACATGTATAGTGAGAGAATAGAGAAATACCTGAAGTCAAACATAAATGTGCATTATAAGGACTGAATTCTATTTAACATATTCAAAACAATAATAGACAAATGTTAACAAGAGAATTAAGTGTATTTTTGTAATTACAAATGGTAACTGAATTGTTGGGGAGTAGGTAGCTGCATATAGTGGTAGTTCAATGATGTCCTCAGTGTTCAACCCTGTCATCTCTTACGTCAAAATCAGGCTGCACGAGTGAATTATGAATCAAAAGCTGTCATAGTGACACTGTGGAAACACAGCCGTCACTAAATTACTGTTTGCCCTGAAGAAGCTCCTCACATATTGCACAAAACCAAACAGTACATGCACAATCCTGCAACCATAGCTAATGGATTTTGTACACAATGCATCGAGTACATCTTTTCTTTTAACTTCATCTTTGAAAAAGTCCCCCTAATTGTGGCTTTTGGTTTGGTTTGAGCCATGACCTGTGACTACACCTGTGACCTGCATCCTGTTGTGAAATGAGTGCACCCTGATGAAGAAAAACCCCCACGATCATTTTGAAAACCACAGCATAGTTGATGATCTTGTAAAAACAGCACGATGACTAAGATAACCAGTGTTGTGGTGATGTGAGAGTGACTGACACATCCTGACAGTTGTGTAGATTTTCTTTTACTGACTCACTGAATTGAAAACAATTCCTGGCAGAAACAGAATATTCTCTCGACAGAAACACACTTTAGGAATTGTTGACTCATTAAGTGCATAGAATTTCACAACCACTGCACCTGTTAAACCAGTGGACTTCTGCAGAAAGAGTTTTTTCATTTGGATATCTTTTACAATTCTTTTCTATTTTCTATTTATTGTTTAACTATACTGTTAAATTATTATTATTATTTCATGATCTAGTATTCAGTTTTTTAAGGCTCAGAACAAAGGCTGAAAATGAGCACAGTCTAATCACTTTGGTATGCAGCGTTTATATATTCAGTGAATACACTATCTTGTGTATTTATCTCACATTGTGAAATAAACTGGTATTTATAAATGCAGTGCAGTTGCAGGGTGAGGTCAAAGACTTTTTTAAGTATAAAGAGGTTTTAATATGCTTTAAACGTTTTTCTTTTTAGCTAAACTAATTTTCAAGCCATGAAATGTGGCTCTCAAACATTTAATATCACAGGAAGGGACAGTAACTAAACACTTTTTTTGTGAAGCTATCTCATTTTAAATAGAGTGATCAGAACAATTATCAGAGAAACATAACAAATCCAAAGTTTCCTCTGGAGCCCCTTTGAGCAAGCAACTTGGCGACAGTGGGGAGGAAAGAAGAAACCTCCAGCAGAGCCAGGCTCAGGGAGGGCGACCGTCTGCCTGGACCGGTCAGGGTGACGAGGAGCAGAGGGCAGACAGGAATCAGAGCTCCTCTGTAATCGGCTTCTGCTGAATAGAAACACACAAAGAACACAAAGGTTAACAGGACAAATAGACACAGAAACTGTGCAGTTTAGTGTTTAAAGTCACTTTTGCAATTTGAGTATTCACTCAGGGTATCAGGATATCACAGAGTTACACCTTTATTTGTGTTAGTTGAGCTGTCAGACATGTCATGTGCTGATCCTGGATCTGTTTACATCATTTCTTCTCTCATCCTAGACTGTCGCTCATTTCCTTCCTCTTTTTTAGATTTTTTTTTTTTACAGTCTCTGTTCCTTATTCAAATTGCTTGTGGTTTAACCCTCTGGGGATGCTTTAATTTACTACCCTTTGAGGATATTAGAGGACAAAAATGTCCCCGATATCCCCAGAGGGTTAAGAGGCAGCTGTGAAGCAACAACACAGACACATTTTTGATTGATTCTCACATACATAAATACATTTTCACAGCTGTATGCTACATACTAAGTACTTGTGTAAGTGTGCAGTATCTGCAGGGTATTTCTTACGAAAAGACATTTAAATTACCAGTGTGTTCTAATCCTATAAAGTTGTTCCCTTTTCTCCTCGTCTCTGTTGGACTCGGTCCTTCGTACTCTGGTGCTGTCTCATCTCTTTTCCTCCTTTTGGGTCCTGGAGTCATTCAACGTCAGTGCTGAAAGAAAACTAGTAGAGGGAAATAGTTGCCCCTACCAGCCATGATGCACTGAGCCAGTAAACCATTATTCTGTCCAACTTAACACAAAATATGTGTTTTCTTTCACTAATCATAGTTGGCTGGTTGTCCAAAGTGCAATGGGTATTATCCATGTATATGCTACATGTTATTTATCAAATACAAACTTTCATTTTTGGTGGACTTGAGAGCAGAACATAACTAAAGTGATTTGTTTGTTTTAAAATGTTTTTTTTAAATTGTTTTTTATTTTTTATTTTTTAAGGGATCACTCACTGACTATACCCAGAAACCATCTCTTACAAAGTCTGCCTCTCACTAGCATTATATCTGAGACTGATACACATTATTACTGTTACCCTGAACACACCCCAAAGCTGTGATCTAACACAACGTCAGTGCATCAGTGAATTCTGGGAGTTCTTTAAGCTTCAGTAGCAAACATCACTTCACAAACAGGATCAGCTCTGAACTGAAAAGGACCCAAAACTCCAACGTTTTTTCAACCGGCTAAATTCCAGACCTCTGAACTGCTTTGTTTACACCTGCACGTTCTGACGTCATGACGTTTCCTCAAAACAGTCCTACTGTCTCCATGGTTACCAAATATGTTTACTTTTTTTTTATTTTTTTTTTTTAGCATTATTTAAAAAAATGGCCTTATAGCATTTTATGAATATAGCCCTGCCACCATCTTGTTTCCAAAACCATCTCCATGGTTACCATAATTGTATATGTTTAGCATTTTATGAAAAATGGTCCTGTCACCATCTTGTTTCTAAGATTTTCGTCACGGATAACAAAAACCTGTAGCATTGAAGAAAGTGTATTAAAAACGGTTCTGCCTCCATCTTGTTTCCAAAACTTTTAAGGCCAATTTCAACACAAGTGACGCCCTAAAACCAAAATCCTAGTTTTTTTTTTTTTTTTTTTAAAGTCACTTAACTACTGTTAACACATTCCTCACTCTTTCCATACTTTCCATACAGTAAAAATCAGACTTAATCATTTTACATCACCCAAACTGTGTTCCTCTCCAGCTCCGGCAGGTCGGTTCTCTTCTTCTTTCAGTAATCCACAGAGGTTCTTCTTCAGCAGGATTAGTTTCCAGATGCTTCCCAGCGTTTAAATCTCCGAAGAGTTTAGCTTTTCCAGCGATTAGGTCGTTGTCCAAAAGTCCAAGTGCGAAAGAAAAAACGACCGAATGAAGCTGTTTCTGTTGCCATGGCTTCAAAAGACGCACGCACGCGCCGGTACGTGTCGTTGCTATGTAGCGGAATAAATAATCGATATTGTCGATTTGTTTGAGTCTGTTGTTTTCTTTCAACAGCTCTGTCAGAAATGTAAGGAGACCCAAAATGGCAGCATGTACACTTTTATTTTTCTTGTAAAATCAGCCTTTCATGAAGGATAACAGAAGAAACGAGATAATAAAAAAAAGTAAATTATTAAACTTAAATCATCTTTCAGTTTCACAATTAATCCCCTCCTCCCAGATATTTAACTGGTACACACAAATGTGTATAAATCGGCAAGGTGATGTGTGAATTTGAAGGTTGAATCATAAAAACCTGCTGCTTTTTATCCAGAAGTGATCCAGCCAACCATCAACTGAAAAAAAGCCCAACAGAGACTTTACATCCTGAGACAACTCATCACAAGCGGCCGACCCTGTGCTCTGACCCCAACTTCCCAATGAGCTGGGATATGCAAAGAAAAGACTGCATTTTGCTGTGTAATGATGAAAAAGTTGAATCTTATCCATTTAAAGCAGACACAGAAGCACACAAACACTTGATGACATTCATCAGCAACAGTAGCTGCGTACTGTAACAGAAGAATGATGACGTCAGTGAGGCAGCCATGACTTTCTAGCAAACTATCATATTACTCAAAGTTGCTGCAATTATTCAAAAAGTCAGTTTTCCAAGTTTCTAAAACATGTTTTCTACTTTACTCTGCCTCAGATTACTACAAATTTAATGTTAACAAAAAATTAATTGCTATAGAAGTCAGATTCACTGGATTTTATCTGTTCTTCCGCCATCTGCAGGTTACTGTTTTTAAATCCACTTCAGCGCAGGAAGCAACGACAACCACTTCTGGGCTCACAAGCTTCCACACTCAAAAGTTTTGCTGAGGATTCAGATCGTGCAGTAAGGCGGTCCTGCTAGTTTTTTTAAGCGGATCATCAATTTTAGTGACAGTACTCGTCTGCCTTCATGCAAATGTTCAACCACAACAAAGGAAACAACTGAGCTGCATCCATAGCTCTGGCCAAGACTACTGTGGTAAGTTGAAAGAAATACAAACACACCAGAGTATTTATCTCCTCGCTCTAGTAGAACGCTCCTGAGGTGGAGCCAGACCAGTTATGTCCTACGTACAGAATGGGATGGATAAGAGACACTAAGAAGTGATCAATAGTTGCTGGTCTGCTGCCACACTGTGTGGTGAGCAAGTCAGATGTGGTTAGAACAGAGAGAGAGAAAAGATGACACAAAAGGAACGCTTGTGGACAATTTATTTTAACAAACTGCTGCACACATTCACACTTGTTAAATATTTACCATTTCCACAAGGAGGTAATTTTGTGTAGTTTAAAAAGCTTGAGGTTGCTTTTCGATTAAAATAATCATCCATTACGTATTCTCACTGACATCCTAGTGTTTGAAATGAAATATTCTAAAAAATACCAAGAAGTCCTGCTAGATTCACTTTTGCAACTTATGCGACCCAACATGCCTTTCTTTCCATTCTGACCCACAATCTTCAGCACAGCAGAAGATACGTCGCCGTGTCTGTGTGAGTACAAACGAGTTTAAGCCGTCAAGAGCACACAAAGAGACGAAAGCTCATTTCAGACTGCAGAGGATGTATGAGCAAGATGGCTGGAGCTTAAGGCACAATATCACGACAAATAATGTGTTCGTTTTGTACACATACTGCATGTAACAGTATAAAAAAAGTACACGATCTGGAACGCAGCCCAAGCCTCCATCTGCCCATTTATCCCGGTGACACTGAATATATTCTCACAGGTGTAAAACAGCACTCAATATGAGCCGCTTAAATATCTATAATATTCTTTGTAAATTCAACCACCTGCTTCAACATTTGAAATTCAGTTCCTTCAAGTGGTCCTCCAGAAGGAAGCACATCAGTCAGACTATGTTTTTTTTTGTTTGTTGTCATCTGACCACCAGCTTCTCCTTTTCATCATGGAGGCGGGAGTCATCAAGCTTTTCTCATCAGCGCCCTCTGCTGTTTAGGAGAAGTGGATCCCTGCAGAGTTGAAGGCATGCAGCAGCCTGAGGATGAAGGAAATACCCACAATTACACCTCTCATCTCTTCTGTGTTTTTAGAAGATTCTTTGACAATTAAGTTACAGATGTTCAACTTACACCATGAAGTCATCGATGTCCATGGACCGGGCTCTCTTCTCGCTGAACTCAGCCTCCTGCAAAACGCTCTCAATTTTCTTGCTGATGCTGAAGTCGGCTGGGATTTCCTGTCAAGAAGGAGCATTAGGTTTTTGAATCAAACAGTGAGAGATCTAAAAAAGCGATGGTTATGCACTCTTAAGTCCAACAACTGATCGAGCTGTTCACCTGAATATTTACTCACCACGTTGTGAACAGAACAGTGAATTCTGTAGTTCTTCTCCAGCAGCTGTTCCACTGCAGTAGATCTGGAAATTACAAATTAACATCATTATCTGTGTTTTCCACGTACATTTTTTACAAAATATGCTTCAGCCTGAGTGGCAGTACACAGGTACTCACTTGAAAGCTGCACTGAGGGTTTTGTTTTTCCTCACGAAGGCTATTCTGACCAGACCGTCCCACTCCTGTTCAGGAGAGAGGAAAATGTCAGGTAGCTACACCTATCTTCTATTTGACCAACTATCTTGTCACAACATGAACCTTTATGACTCCGACCTCACCTGGAAGTTAACTGGAGGAGGAGGATTCTTCGGTTCTATCCTGACAACACTTGACTCCACTTTTGGAGGAGGGCGGAAATTATTCTTCCCAACCTGAAAGCAGAAGAAACATCAACACTGAGACACAGTTTTTGAAACACAAGAAAAACATTTCTGTAAATGAAGCATCTGAAGACACTGATGATGTTTCAGTGTGTGGACAGCTGCTGTTTTAAAACCCTCACAGATTTTACAATCAGGTTGCATCACACATATAAGCAGACAAGTAACTTCACAGATATTCTTCTCTCTGATCTCAGATGTGCACACACAACAAGATTTGAAAAAATAATCACACTTTATAGGATTTTATTAAGATTTGCCAGAGGAAGCAGTCGGGGAGCAGTGCACCACCTCATGTAATGTCATGGAGACACAGACGTAAACAAAACAGAGACTGCGGTGCAACAACCTGCTGTAATCTGACTCAATCAGTGTCGACTGTGTTTATCAGCCCGCAGTTTCCGCTGCACATTTTACTCAGCTTTTTTTCTCTCCTTCTGTTATTTAAATTAGTATTTTTTTCAAAAGCCCTGTTACTACAGGAAGCAACAACAAACTAGCAAACTACCACATAGAAGATTTCAAGTCATCAAGGCAGCCCTGCTTGTTTTAAATGGTAAATGGTCTGCACTTATACAGCGCTTTTATCCAAAGTGCTTCTCATTCACCCATTCATACACCAATGGTGACAGAGCTGCCATGCAAGGTGCTGCCTGCCATTGGGAGCAACTTCGGGTTCAGTGTCTTGCCCAAGGACACTTCGACTGTGGAGGGGCCTGGGATCGAATCGCCAACCTTGCACTTGGAGGACAACCCGCTCTACCGCCTGAGCCACAGCCTCCCATTTTGTTTTTTTGTTGTTGTTTCTGAATTTGCCATTTTAATGACAGTGCTCGAGTCCCCACATGTAAATCTCCCACCAAAACATTTCTTCCACCATCATTTTTATGGAACACTGCAGCTGCATCCTTTGCTAAGCCCCTCACAAGATGATTGTGATTGGCTAAGACAAATACAAACAAGCCAGAGTGTTTTCCCCCCAGCGAGACGACTGTAGCATTAATAATACTTTGCAGTGACCAAAAAAGCAAAAGCAGAAGGCTAAATGCTGCATCTGAATGAGAAAATGGTTGGGCTGATGTAATCAACATGGGCTGTTTAATCTTCAGCCAGAACTGGACAAGAGATATAAGGTAGTCAGTTTTAATATCTGTAGCTGCTGCCCCGCCCATCATCCAGACAGTAACACCTAAATATTAAACATGGTTGATATTATCAGAGCAGCCCTGATGAGTCTGTGAGCAGTTCAGGAGGGTTAAGACTGGATCTGTAAACGCTCATATTACCAAATTATCTGGGCTGAATATCAGTTCAGACCAGATTTTTTGTCTGTCAAAAAATGTGAAATGAGGGTAAGTTGGCCCAAAATTCCTCCAGGCTTCAGCCTGTTGAACAAGTATCAACGAGCACATGCTGACCTTCATGAGATGGTCTACACGAGCCAGAAGTTGTGTGTTGATGGACAGTCTGCAGTACAGCTTGTCTCCAGGTTTGGCAACCAGTCGCATAGCAAACTCTCTCTGGAACATCAACACAGCACACCTGAACGGAAGCAAAACACAAAAGACGCTCTAAACGATCAATATGGACATGAGAGGAACAGAACTAAAATCCTCAGTGGGCCTCTGGTTAATGTTTACCTGAAGAAAGGTCGGTGGAGCAGGAGTTTGAAGACGAATGGTGATGAAATCTGCACAATTAAGAAAACGTGAGTTGGAGATAAATGGAATTATGACGACAAATCAACTGTTTGCAGTTCGGAGGAAACGTGTGTTTACCTGATACGGTAAATTAGCCACACAGATGTCAAAGAAAGGCAGATCTGTCTTCAATACATCTCCAACTAATATTTGGAGTTTGGTCTGTAAGGGCCTGTTGGAAAAAAATATGTTTATGTTAAAACACAAATTCCCATTTATTTAATAACCACAACAATGTAAATATATGGCAGCACAGTGCTGCTGGCTCCACTCACGTGCACTGTACTCTCTTCTGAAGCTCAGCCACCAGTCTGCAGTCCAACTCACAGGCCACCACCTGCAAAAAAAAGCAATTATTGTTAGGACTGACTACTACAGGTTGACCGGAGCTTTTCACAACTGCAGCAACAAATAAATGCAGAAATAATAGAAAAACTCCCTTAATACATTTCTGACTTGAGTCTTCATCAGTTTCATAGACATAAGTGATTATTGCTCCACTGTTTTTCCAGCAAGAAGATGCAGCAGAGTCCTTAGTTTTTCAAAACTAAAATTTCTCATTGAGGTGGTGTAATCTGAACTTTTGGTGTTAAAAATGGATAACCTGGTCAACACAGGGCCACACTTAGAGACAGACAACCAAGCACACGCACATTCACACCTACGAACAATTTAGAATCACCAATTAACCTCAGCATGTTTTTGGACTGTGTGGGAGGAAGCTGGAGAACCCGGAGAGAACCCACGCTGCACGGGGAGAACATGCAAACTCCACGCAGAAAGATCCCGGGTGTCCTAAGCGGAACATGAACCGGGGATCTTCTAGCTGCGAGGCGACGGTGCTAACCACCATGATAGAGATAGATAGGACTAATCAAAGACAGCAACATTAGAATGGAAAAACACATTACAATATCGAACATGGGCAAATATTAAACAATTAACAAACATAATGGTTCAAATGTGAAACATCAGACTACAAATACCAAAATCGGGTCTGTGTAGTCTGTCATTTCTAACACAGTTTACATATGGCTTATAATGTCTTTAAAAGACATAGAAGGAAATTTGTTATCATAAATAAGTAAAATGCGCAAGTTATAGCACAGTTATAGCACAATCACACTACAACACCACATAATGATGCCTTTTCTGATTACCGAGTCTGTGCTATCTTTCCAATCTCAACCTGAGGCCAGCGTTAAGCCTTCATTATACTCTCTTGTAGACAGACACATAGACAGCTGCAGACAGTGCGGCTGCGTAGATGTTGTTATACCATTTAAAAAGCGTTTTTACCCTTTTACTACATATGTTAACAGTTTCACACAAATTAGCTGAATGTTTTCTCGTTTCACTGTTATAAAGCATTTGGTTTGTTCTATGGGAGAGGAGCAGGAGCACAGTCATACAACCGCTGTCTTTGGCATTACAGAATTCACCAATATCCAGGATTCTTTAGGAGTCTCTGTCCCGTATCGTCTCTAAATCACAGCCTGACTGAGACAGATTTTTGAGGCTCTCACCTTCTTGGCTTTTTCCAGCAGTTTAACAGTCATGTTGCCAGTACCAGGTCCCACCTCCAGAACCACATCTGTCGGCCTCAGAGCAGCCTGAAAAGAAGGTGAGGCGGTACGATTCAGCTTCAACCACAGATTACAAATCTTGTGTATCATGACTGTTTATCTTTAACATCATTTGTGTTGTTGTGATTATTTGTGTGGTAAAAACTCATCTTCTCAGTACATCCTACCTTTTCAATGATCCCATTGACAACCAGAGGATTCTTCAGGATGTGCTGACCGATGCCGGTGTTGAACATGATCCCTGCAAACAGGACACTGCATGAGGGGCTTGTGTAATATTCAAGAGTAAAGTAATAGTAAAAGAATGATCAGATTATAGTTCCTACTGTCATTTTAAAGTCAGTGGTTTTAGTATAAATGTTTCGGAGTTTTCTAAGTTTCCCTTTGATGGAAGAGAAATCTGGGTTCAAAATCTGCCAGTAAGTGAAATTCTGATTATATTCATCAGTTTAGATCATTTCTGGTCTGAACAGACACAGAAAACAAACCGTGAACATGAGCATATTTTGCACTTGGCTGGGAACTATTCTTACATTAACGAGAAATTGTCTGGATACTTCATCCGCCGAAAAAAACACAAGACATATATTAACTCAATAAATACCTTAAACATTACTGTGACGTTCGAGAATTTGTCGGTAAGTGGATTGACATTAAATAGTGTTTTTTCTTAACCAAGTTCGGGACTAAGCTAGCCAAACCCACACTGCTCGAGGTTTTGGCAACACAGGCATCAGAAGTAACAACTGAAATTGACCTCTATCAGATGTTTTCAATACTGATGCAGTAATAGAGCAAATATCAATGTACTGTAGAGATATTTACACTGACTGTAGAGCTCGTTTTTGCAGCTGACAGCAATGTTTGCTAATATGCTAAAGCTAACCTCCGTTAATAAACGTAGCTCACCTTGGTTCTTAACCTCTTGGTGTTGCCGGCTTTTCTTCTCCGCCTTAACCTTCGGCATTTTTACGAGTTTTTATTCAACTTAAACAGCCAGAAATCCAAATTTGCAACAATTATCCAAAGTATGTCCGCCTGGACTCCGTACACACGTGTAGCCTCTTTTCTTCTTCACGGACGGGATGTGATTTCTCCTCACTTCCTGTGTCGCCCTCTAGCGGCAGCCGGAATACAATTCTGTTTCCCAAAGTAATCTAACCTGAGTAGCTATACGCGTTATATTTTGGAATTATTTTAATTTTGCAGCTGTATTAGTTGCAGCACGTATTTTATATGTATAACACAATATATGCTTTGTGCATTTGTGTAACATTTAAGTAGTGTGTCTACAACTCCCTTCTCTTTTGGTTCCTTCCTGCAATTGTTTATGGTGGGACAGATGTTAGAATAACACTCTTACAATAAAATGCTGCAGAGATATAAGGTAAAATTTAAACTTTTCCTTTGATTAGGAATTACTTCAAATGTAAAGAGTAGCCATCTCATCACCCACAGCCCAGACAGAGATATTTACACAACAACAAGGAAAATTAATAAATCAGGATTACAAAACCGTACTTATTTGGAATGTTTGTTTATTAGACAATACCATACAGAAACATAAATGCGATAACGATAATCCTGCTCTAGTCGGAGATAGGAAACTCCTCCAGGCTCATGGCGATGTCTCGAAGTGAGGGATCATCCAGCCAGTTGATTTTACAGGCCAAGAGGATTCCCTGAAGAGAAACACAAAAATACACTCCAATTTTATTGTATGCATGAGCAGTTTTCAAACAGTGTATCGACAGATTGTGTTATTTTTTCTGACAGAGTTCCTGCACGATTTACCCTCAGGACGTTCTGTGTCATGACTGCCATCTTTTTATATTTCTCCAGGTTCGCTTGGCCTTTCTCCAACACAGCTTTGTACTTTTCTCTATCTGCATGCTCCTTCTTTGACGTCAGCTCTTCAATCTGTCTCATTTTCTCGTGTGTGAGCCGTTTCATTTCTACACACATAAAATATCAGGGTCAGGGTTTAATTTAGTGTCAAAACAGTTCAGTGATATAATTTGTATATATGAAGAGTTGTTGGTGAGCGAGTATTGATAGTCAAGTGAATTTTTGTTCTGTACAACATACCAAGTCTTGTCTTCTGTATTTCTGTTATTTCATCTTGAAGATTTCTTGACTCCTGTTGAAAAATGAGAAAGATTTGGGTATGAATGTCAATCTGAAATAACTCTGTCTCAAGTTGTGACAATCAGTCTTCCAAAGAAGGATTAGCTCTTCAGAAATAGACTCCTCCTTTCAAATATCAACAACAACTTACTACCTATTTCACACTTTAAACTTTGAAATACCAAAGGAAACGCTTGAGGGATACACAACAGAGAATAAGGCGGCTTACTTGCTGAAGATGTTTTATTTGTGAACAAAGAGCCATGCAGCGTTCAGTCACAGTTTTCAGGGCCCTGAAAAAAAAGAAAATGTTTGACGCCACCCTTAAAATCATCAAATAGAAATGTATGCCACTTGTTTCAATCTGTTGGGAACTTACTCCGCCTCTGGATCACTCTGTTTTAGCTTTTCCCCCACAGCGTGCCACATCTGCATTCTGAAAGACACCATTTAAGTCAAAGATTTGCTCCATGAACTAAATATCAGTGCTTCTATACTCGATTTGTTTGTATAATTGGTTTACCTGTGCAGTGACAATGTGTTGTTAAAATGAAGTGTTTTGACCCTTTCAAGTTCACTGATGTAATCTGGTCTGCAATATTTAAAACAAAATGATGTGTTAAAAGCACATATTTTGAATGTCACTCTAATGAAACAGTTGACATTAAATTCTGGATCCATATCATTAGAAATTTTTCAATACTCACAACTCTCGGTCTGCTTCAGATGTGCTGCATGATCTTTTACTTTTATCTGTTTTTGAAAACATGAAATTAATTCTTTGTGTTTTAAGTTAAAGTAGAATTTGATGTAAATAATTCACTTTGCTCTGTACCTGCTTGGACCTGTACTGCCATCTCAAAGCACTGGTTGGACATCTGCTGTTTAATTCTGAAAAGAAAGTACCGGTAACTGTGTTTGTCAAGAGGTAATGTGCATGACACAGCTGGATTTAAGTGCGTTTTAAAGACTGGTGTTCAAGTGTGATTCATTAATAACTGAAAGTGTTAGAAAGATATAGAGTTAAAGCATATGTGGAGGAAGAACCTCAGCATGTCTCCAGGTGACATTTCCTTCTGTCCAGTGGAGATGTCAGGAGCAGGACCATCATTCAGAGCCACTGTTTTCATCTTGCGATTTAAGTTGCCTTCGTTTCCAGAAGAGTCCATTGGGAAACAGTGTGAAGCGTTCCCAGAAGAATCCATTGGGAAACAGATCCTCGCGTGTCCAGAGGGGTCCAAAGGAACCCCAGTCGATTTGGCCTGGATGGACAAATGAACCTTGATCAAAAAGGTTTTTGTGAGATCAACTGGGTAAAAAAAAATATATAAAAAATTACTACTCATATGCTACTAAATGCTGCAAGGTGTATCTGTGGTCAGCATTGTTGCCTCGCAGCTAGAAGGTCGCCGGTTCGTGTCCTGGTGAGGACGACCGGGATCTTTCTGCGTGGAGTTTGCATGTTCTCCCCGTGCAGCGTGGGTTCTCTCTGGGTTCTCTGGCTTCCTCCCACAGTCCAAAAACATGTTGAGGTTAATTGGTGATTCTAAATTGTCCGTAGGCGTGAATGTGAGTGTGCTTGATTGTCTGTCTCTAAGTGTAGCCCTGTGATAGACTGGTGACCTGCTTTCGCCCTAAGTCAGCTGGGATACGCTCCAGCCCCTCCCCCGCCCTGCGACCCTACTGAGGATTAAGCGGTGTATAGACAATGGATGGATGGATAAAACATCCACAATTGTCTTTATCTGGATCATACAGTCATAACATGAAAAAACAGAACTTCTTGGTTGTAGTTAGACCAAAACTGTGCCTTGAGAAATTTTAACATTTCTTGCAACCAAATAATTGTGATTAAAGACATTCTTGCAGTTTATAGTGTAATCAGGCATGACATTTAAGATGATTAGAAGCAATACTGCAGTATTTTGTCCCTATATTTAGTCTGTATGTGTTTAGTATGTCTAATATCTGTGTTAAGATTGTAATTCTAATAATTTACAGATCAGGTTTATGCATAAAATAAAGAAATTATCTCCTTTACATTATCCTTTGGTCTATAATCGTTAAACTATAACCCCAAAGAGTGCAATCAAGTCATGTTGAAGCGTTATTAACAGGTCAGTCACAATACAGAGGCTGCAGTCACTTTTTAACAAGCAGAAAAACTGCATTATATGAGCTGAATACGTCCTTTAAAGCCATTTCAACCAATAGAATGAACTGGATTGTTTGTTATCCAGGGCGGGCAAAATAATGCAGAAGCAGTTTTTTTTGGCACACCTGTTAAGTAGAATAATTTACAGAAAAGGGAAATACAAGTACCTCAAACAGTACTTCAGTGCAACCAGTACCCGTGGCAAAGCACAGTCCACCACAGACAAAGCAGCATAAGCACAGGGCAGTTTCCACACATTACTGGGATCGTTTTCAGCAAGTTAACACTAGAACAAATGTGTGCGGGTTAAAAGTTCTCACCTCGTCTCGTCTACTTACGGTGTCTATCTCTGTAACGCACCAGAATCAAGACCCACATTCTCACGATTCTACTGAAAGCTCGGCGTCGTGTTTTCAACGTCTCTGCTTCTGCTGAAAAACAAAAGACTTCGTCCCGCCCGAACGAGACTTCTGGTCACGTGTTTGTTCTGGTCCAATCAGAGAGCGTCTCTGGTCCCAAACAAGCCACGCAGCGCCTCCTGCAGTCCAGCAGCAGGCAGTGCTCAGTATATTTGTTATTATTCTATTGTTCCTGTGTGTTGCAATGGTATGTGGCTGCAGACCCGGAGGCTACACTCTCGGGCCTGCAGACACACCCGTCTCTCACAATCAGTACTCACGTCGTGACCGTTCTCCATCACGGCGACAAATGCTGCTGCTTTCTACATCATCCATATCGGCAGGTCACACACACACCAGCGACCAGTCGATGGGTCCTGACAGCTCTGAACACACTCATACTACTGCATCTAGGCCAGTGGTCCCCAACCACCGGGCCGCGGACCGGTACCGGGCCGTGGGTCATTTGGTACCGGGCCGCACAGATAGAATAAAAACGTTTTATTGGTTTATTTTTATTTCCAGCGGAGTCTGCAGGGTGTTTTATTTTGAAACATAACTAGCTCGTCTTCCCGTCACTTCCGTTTGTGTTCGTTTCCTGCACTTGACTGTCAGTTATTATGCCCGGCTGCTAAACGAAGCCGTCAGTCAAAAACAAACGTCTCAGGAGAGCTGCCTTGGAAAGTGGGAGAGACTTAATACTGAGACAGGAGAAAAAGTAAACATATTAAGCAATAAAAATTAATTTTATTCATTTATGAAACTTTTCAATAGAAAAAAAAACAATCATTATTTGTTATGTGCGTAATGACCGGTCCGTAGAAAAAATTCTTGCTTAAAACCGGTCCGTGGTGCAAAAAAGATTGAGGACCGCTGATCTAGGCTACAGCTAATTCGCGCATTTTGGCGATCATTCATTGTGATAGGTGAGGTAGGGCCCTGAGAGTGCAGCCTCCGGGTCTGCAGACACACCCTTCTCGTGTGTTGTGCCAGTGTCTACACTTGTTGATTTGACAGGTTCTCCTGGGATGTTTGATCATGTCAGACTTGTAGCTACACCCTAAAAAAACATAAAAACACAGATGAAAACAGATGTATGGATTTACTTACTCGACCAATAAATCAGTCCAGGTTTTCTGTCGTCACATCTGTGTTCCAAAAGACACCAAACATTTGTCAGATTACTGCTTTTAGTGTTTTATACTGTACTTCTATATACACTGAACAAAAACATAATCACAACATGTAATGTTTTATTATATTATATCCACTGTTTTTGAACATAGGGAAACAAGTACATGTTATGCCTCTGCTTTTTGAAGATGACGTGGTTTCATGGGCTTTATCCACCTGGGGCCTTGATCGCACACTGGGGCGGTTTGTAGCCTAGTGTGAAGTGGATGAGAGTCAGCAGCTCCAAGTCTGAGGCCATGGTTCTCTGCTGGAAACCAGGGGATTTCCTCCTCTGACACCCTGGACAACATTACTAGGCAGAGGAACATCTGCTAAGCTCAGCTTAGCCTGTTGTCAAGCACTGTCATTTCTCACAATTGTTATTTTACAGATGTTTTCTGTTTTGTTACATTCCACATAATAACTAGTAAAATCAACGTACAACTACGAACTACAATGTCCACATTAAAAATCTGTATTTTTTACAAATGGTTCTTCTTTCTTTTATAACTTTTGACAACAAAATTGCATTTTTTTTTTTACAGTATTTAAATCAGCATTGGAAAAAAGTTTTTTGTTTTTTTAAGAAATTTGCTGTTATTTGAAAGAAAATCTATATATAAGGGTTAAAAATGAAAAATAGCTTTCAAAAAACAAAAAACATCTGTAAAATAACACTTAATTGTTGTTTTGGCAAACTTTTTATGAAGTAGTACAATTACATAAAATTCATATCAAAAATCTGTATTTTGTTTCACAAATAGTCATTTGTTCTTTGACAGTGTTTAACCATAGTTTTACTGTGTTTCATACCAGCTAAATCTATCATGATTTAATACATTTTATATTTGCTGTTGTTTGCATTTTGTTTGCTCTTGTTGATTATTTAGTTTTTTTTGTTTTTTTTTAACCGTTCTTGCCCATTTTTAACATTATCGTATTTCAGACATATTTTTGTCAGACTCCATTGCTGCCAGATTTTCAATGTTTTTAAAAAAAATTTTATTTACAGTTTGCACAGCCCTGTATTCCATAAATACTTGGCTGTTACTTTATCTAATGCTGCATTAACTTACACATGCACATTGCAGTTGCATTCCCTGAAACTTAGACGTTGGAGTTTCATTGAATGAATTTGACTTATCAGACCTGGGCTGGCTACGGGGGGTGACCAATGACATTTCAGAGCTGGCCAGGCCCCCCTCCTCTCCCTCTTTCTTGGAGAAGCATTTGTAGAGATAATCATGCTCATGTTTATTTATCTGCTACCAGTGACTGGTTATACAAGCTCAGACCTGTTTCTGACACATTGTTGTGTGAATTCTGTACACTGAGGAGAAGACAGCCATGGAGAACAAGAAGAGAAGGGTAAGTACACAAAAACATACGTCTTGTAGGATCATTATTACTTTGAGGTATTTTTACAAAAACTTGAAAAAGGAAAAAGATTGTCGCTTGTTATTTTTGCGTGCCTTATTTGACTATTTTGAATCTGTCTCAATTCAACAGTTTTGGTGTCAGTTTGTACTAACTGGATTTCTACATATAATATCATCTATCCTGTTTTTACTATTTGAAATACCAGATTGCATTCATCTAAACAATCTGAAAAGTCATCTGAGAACTCAAGCTCTGTTTCAACTTGAAGAAAGGAAAGAAAGACAACGAAAAAGAGCATTAAAACAATAACAAACACCTATACAAGTAGTCTGCAGTATGAAATTTTAAGATAGTCGTTTCTTTGACTAAACTGTGGAAATCTGGCTGTGAAGCAGTTACAGTGATTTGAACTGAACTCTGTACCTTAAAGTGCACTCACCATATTTAATGCATATAACTTAACTTTACTGCCTCTTATGTCACATGCAGCGCTGTGTACACTGCAATTAGTACATCGTTTATGTGCTTCTCTCTACTACATTAGTCCTAATTAACCATAAATGATGATGTCTTCGTACAGGGTTTCACATTAGACTTAGTATAATAGTTGTGGATTTGTGGACTATTTATCAGACTTTCATTATTTTTGCTTAGTCATCATTTGATTTGGCTCAGTGGATTTCTGTGGAATTATGTAATGGAGTAAACAGAGAAGTTTTGCTCATTTTCAGTGTTCTTACACCTGTTTATCAGTCCATTCCTTAGACTTTTTCTCCAGTGGATTAACTGACAAAATGTGATTTATTAACTAATTACAACATTGCCAGATAAAGAAACTGCAGGAAATACAATGTCTAACACAATGGCCAGTTTACTGAGATCCTGTAAATAATTAAAGGGATCCTTTCTTTGAAGTGGGGTTGTATGAGGTGGCCTACTAGTCCATAGTCAGTGGATTACCTGCAGTAGATA